AGACGTGCCATCAAAAGGCGCGCCCAAGTTGTCGGCGAGCACCGAGAGGCGCATGATGCGCGTTCATCATGGTCTTTATAAACCGAAGCGGAGGCCGAGGCTTGGAAGCATAACAAACCAGTTGAAACCTCTTCGTGCTCTGAGAGCTTGTCGCTAAGAGCTGCAAATCTTGAAACACTCTGTAAACACTCTGTAACCAACCCTTCTCTGAAACACTCAGCAACCCATAACATGGCCTCGTCTTCCCGTTCAGCTACCCAGAATATGGCCTCTTCGTCTCGTGATCTGCTCACTCTCTTTCCCTCTAAGAGCTGCAAATCTTGAAACACTGTAATACTTGGTTGCCCAAAAAATGGCCTCTTCGTCCCGTGGTCTGCTCACTCTCTTTCCAGACCTAAACGAGTCAACAAGAGAGACAACTGGTGTGGCGGCCCGTGAACCTCAACCAAACACCTCTGGTTTTGCTCCGTTGAACTTTCCGATGCGGTCGGTGGAGAAAAAAATGGCAGTACAAACAGATATTGAAGCCAATCAGTATACATTGAAGTCATGTGTGGAAACCATGACTGCGGTCACAAACTTGTCGCACCGGCTGCAGAGTAGGACAAATGAGGTGCAGCAGTTAAACGCCCAACTGGCTCTGCTCCAGCGCATGTATAAGGATGCGCGAGCAGAGATAAGTGTGCTACAGGCGGAAAATAAGGAGCTGAAGCGGAAGGCCACCGTTATGTTCCGATTTGGAGGGCCGCCATATGCTGCAGTGGAGGAGCAGGGAGTAGTGATCGTGCCCAGTGGAGTGGGAAACACGGAGGCAGCACCGTCAAGGGCTGTCCAGGATGGAGGCAAGAAGAAAAGACTGGCGGCAGAGTAGAGAAGGTTAATCCCGCCTGTGGATGTGGTTGTTTTGTTTTGTTTTGTTTTTTGTTTTTTTTTGTTTTTTTGTTTTTTGGTGTAAAAGTGTGATCGGGATTGATCCCCGATATGAATGTGTGATCGGGGTTGATCCCCGATATGAATAAAACGAATGGGTTGTGCAAACCCGGATGACTTGAAGGTACAAGACTGAGCAGAAAAATTAGATGGAATGAATTTTGTTTTTTTTTTTTTTTATTTTTTATTTTAATAATAAAAAATTGAGGTTCAAGGAAAAGTTGGGCTGTGGAAAGAAGAAAAAGAAAAAGTAGCACCCACGTGAGTTCCATCCAATTTTTTTTATATATAAGATAAAAAAAGGTTTGGACGGTGGAAAAATATTTTAAAATAAAAAAAATTATATAATATAGTTATCTCTTTGAAACTATATGCTGGTGTTGATAAAAAAAGTGGGCCAAATTACCAATACCGCCAATCTTGTAGACATCCTGAAGTGGGAGACGAAGAGGCTTGTCTGATGGCCTCTTGGGCTCTGTAATCATGTCGAGGGCATCAAGAAGGGTTGGGCCCTTGTACCAGCCAAATGCACCAGGTATGGCACATGTCCCACCAAGAACAGAGGGGAAAAAGGGCATCAAGAACACGCTGCCCAGTAAGAAGAGGAGTATCAGCAGCAAGTTTTGACGCAACAGGCCTAGGAGTTCGCACAGGCCAAGTCTGAAGCATGGCTGGTATGGATGGCCAGAAGATAACGCCGTCGAGAACAGCCGCCATGTTCGAAGGCGGCGTCGGCGTAGTAATGCTGCGGTGGAAGGAGGTGCTGCGCGACGGAGGAACTGAGATCGCTGTAGGCGGGGCTGAAGTTGGAGCCGTCACGGGAGCCGCCGGAGTTTTGGTCGGAGAAGAAGCTGTGGAACACAACAACCGTGTGGTGGCAAACATAGGAAGAAATCATTTGACAGTCTTTGTCCAAGTAAACACCAGTGGAGAAGAATCGAAATCAGGAGTCGATCCATCTGTGTGGGTAGAACTTGTGAAGCGTGTTAGTTTGGCCTGCCCAAACCTTGAATTTTGTGGCTTGGAATAGCAGGGGATTGAAACCAGACGTAAGGAAGGCCGGTGTCACGACGGAGCTTTGGCAAAGGGACATCGACGTGCAAGCGGCGGTGGTCTCCGGCGACTGAACAGTAGTGCACTCAGAAAGGAAATTTCAAGGTATGTGTAGAAAAATTTTAGCAGATTAGGTTGAGGGCATCAAGAAGGGTTGGGCCCTTGTACCATGTTACCGGTGTAGAAGACACTGTATGAGTGTGTATATAGACTGCCCAAAAGATATACATGGATATAGATATCGAGCCCTCAAAAGTCGTGCCCTATTTTGTGGCTTGGAATAGCAGGGGATTGAAACCAGACGCAAGGAAGGCCGGTGTCGCGACGGAGCTTTGGCAAAGGGACATCGACGTGCAAGCGGTGGTGGTCTCCGGCGACTGAACAGTAGTGCACTCAGAAAGGAAATTTCAAGGTATGTGTAGAAAAATTTTAGCAGGAGGTGGTAGTGTTGTAGTGGGTTAGGTTTAGTGGAGTAGGTTTAAGTGGGTGAAGTAGGTGGAGAGTATGTGGATTTAGTGGGTTAGGTTTAGTGGAGTAGGTGAGGTGGTAGTGGTGTAGTGGGTTATGTTTAGTGGAGTAGGTTTAAGTGGGTGAAGTAGGTGGAGAGTAGGTGGATTTTAACAACCTCACATTTCTTAAGTGTCGGTGTCAATATAGCAATGGAAGCTAGTGAGACTGACATGATCGGGCTGTAATGGCTGAAAATTTTAATATTGATTCTAAGGCTTCCTGAAGACTTCAAAAAAAGCAAAAAAGTTTCCCTCGCTCTAGCCCGTTCTGAGATTTCAGGTGATGGAATCTGTGGAGCAGCAACAAATAAGATTTTATTTTACTCAGGGATTTTAATGATTTATGATTTTAGAGTTTATTTAGGATTTTACTTATATTATTAATGGTTGATGTACTGAATAGATCAGATTTTTTGGCACGATTGAAATTGAGAGTGTTGGATCTCTCTCTCTCCTTTTCCTCTCTTCTTTTCTCCTTCTTCTCCTTTGTTTCCTCCACCGTTTCCACGACATCAAGTTTTTTTCCATCATCCAGCAAAAGATCCAATAATATTTAATTAACCACTAACCTCTCTAAAATAATTTACTGCTTTTCAAACATCAAAATTACTTAGAAAATATGAGGAAGAAGAACTCCGAAAATATGAGGAAGAAGGAATATATTTCTGTTATATTCAAAATTTCTTATTTTACAAGACCAAATGACACTCCTTATATAGGAGATATTACAAACATCATTATAACCCATTATATGCCACTTACATATTATATATTACCACTATCTACCACTATCATATTATATACATGCCACTATCTACCACCAACACCACAATCATATTCTATACATGCCACTATCCTTCACCAACACCACTATCATATTATATACATGCCACCATCTTATTATATACATTAACACAAATTTCCAACACTCCCCCTCAAGCTGGTTTGAAGATATCTTCCATAGCCAGCTTGCTAGTCAGCTTATCAAATTGCTTCTTGTGTAGTCCCTTCGTTAGCACATCAGCTAATTGTTCACCTGTTGGAAGGTAGGTCATACAGATTATGCCAGCATTGATTTTCTCCTTGATAAAATGTTTATCCACTTCTATATGTTTTGTGCGATCATGTAGAACTGGATTATGAGCTATAGATATAGCTGCTTTGTTGTCACAATAGACCTTCATAGGTGTCGGGTGAGAAAGCTTTAATTCTTCAAGAATTCTTTTAATCCACATTACTTCACAGATTCCATGGGCAACAGCTCTGAACTCTGCTTCTGCACTACTTCTAGCTACCACATTCTGTTTTTTACTCCGCCATGTAACAGGTTCCCACCTACAAAGGAGCAGTATCCGGATGCTGATCTCCTGTCTGTAACACTTCTTGCCCAGTCTGCATCTGTGTATACTTCAACTTGAAGATGTCCATGTTTCTTGAACAGTAAGCCTCTCATAATAAAAACTCAATAGATATTATATATATTTTATAAAAATTTAATAATATATTATACACACACATATATATATGTAATATTATTATTTATTTATTATTATATTTGCAGGTCGAGTAGGGTTCGAGTAAAAAAATTCTCTCCCCCTAGCCTAAACCAAATTTGATTTTTTAAAAATTTTCTCAAATTCAACTCTAGTCTATTTAACCATCCCTAAACCCATCTTATTAGGGTTAGGGGGCGTCAGGGACCTGGCAGGTCAAGGCATTTTGCCATCCCTAGCCGCAACCCTATCTTAACTCTTCCCAACCATCTATGTCTACCCTTGAATGAGCCCCTTAAATTGATATTGAATGACATCGACCATGAATCTATTGGATATTGAGAACTGAAACGAGATTTTGATTAGCATATTATCGAACTTCATTCACATAACCTCTTTATTCTGTTATTACTCACTGGGCCCTAGCTCACTATTTATTTATATATATGTAGATGGGCAAGCTGAACAATAGAGTTAGGTAAGCCTTGAGTCTACCCAGGTCAGCCTTTCGAGGAGTTTCCAAGCGAAGTCATCAGGCTCAGGTGGAGCCATACTAGTGGGACCCCATTTTGTTGTTCCGTGATTTTGTGTTTGTGCATTGTTGGGGGTTTGTATATTTGTAAGACATGAATTTTGTACAATTGTGATAAATGTACTTTTGGAACAAATTTTGCTTATTATATTGGTTCTCTTCATGTACGCATGGCTCAATGGATAATTTTTATGTTATTTTAGACTTCCGCTAAGTCCCATACTTTATCTTAAAAGGTTTATTTGTTTGGAGGCCGTAGGTAATCTATGATTACTGGCCGGTCATGACGCTAAACCTATAGGGACAGGTTTGGGTCTTGACAGAAAGTATCAGTTCTCCAATCATGAAAACAACCCCCAAGACAAAATCTGATTATAGAGATTGCATCTAAAACTATTTCGCAAGATCAATTAATTTGTGGAGAATAACTTATTTAGTCAGCAATACAGAAACATGTGCCTCATGAAGAAAATCAGGATGTACCTAAACTTAGTCCATCAAGCAAAACAAGGAAAGCCCCTTGTAAGAATGCATCTGCAGGTTGTAAATTTCCCTCAGTTGCATTGATAAAAGCTATCCAGGACAAAAGATCTCTGACAGTAAGCATTCTCCCTGTTTGTAACTGATTGAACCACTGCAAGACGGAAAGCAATGCAAAAGAAACATACAAATACACCAAAATCAGTAGTAGCCACACTGTCAGCCAAACACAGACAAGACTGACACAATAAAGAAACCCAAAATAGTTTCACATAGAAGTACTAGTAGTTCAATGAGAATCAAGGGAATGCCAATATTAATAGCAGTACAATAATAATAACAATAATAATAAATAAGAGGAAGAAGAAGAAAGACAACAATATAACATCCCAAACTAAATATTCATGCTAACAGTGGCAGTGAAACATGCAAAATTTGTGGACTTCGAATTTTTGGATTAACAAGTTTATTCACAAGCAAAGGTACTTCAACAATCTCAAAGATCCTCAAAGGAGAGTTCATGGCATTTCCAATTGAAAATGAAATTTCCTTCAGAAACAGAAATAGAGATTTGGATACAAATTATTTTTCTAATCATATCTGCACAAATTTTAAAGTTCTGACCACTCATTCCATTTGTCTATATTTTAATCAAGTTTCTAAGAGAACTAAAAAATAAATTCAATTATTAAAACATGTGTCTGTAACCGCAGCAAAATAAAGTCAATATTGTAAGATGTAGCGGTAGTAACACGAAGTGATGATGTTTCAGCCGGCAATTACTGAAATAATATGATACTTTCCACATACAAGTTGACCTCACATTTCTTAAGTGTCGGTGTCAATATAGCAATGGAAGCTAGTGAGACTGACATGATCGGGCTGTAATGGCTGAAAATTTAATATTGATTCTAAGGCTTCCTGAAGACTTCAAAAAAAGCAAAAAAGTTTCCCTCGCTCTAGCCCGTTCTGAGATTTCAGGTGATGGAATCTGTGGAGCAGCAACAAATAAGATTTTATTTTACTCAGGGATTTTAATGATTTATGATTTTAGAGTTTATTTAGGATTTTACTTATATTATTAATGGTTGATGTACTGAATAGATCAGATTTTTTGGCACAATTGAAATTGAGAGCGTTGGATCTCTCTCTCTCCTTTTCCTCTCTTCTTTTCTCCTTCTTCTCCTTTGTTTCCTCTACCGTTTCCACGACATCAAGTTTTTTTCCATCATCCAGCAAAAGATCCAATAATATTTAATTAACCACTAACCTCTCTAAAATAATTTACTGCTTTTCAAACATCAAAATTAATTTCAAAGGTACTGCTCCAAATTCTTTGGAGACGAGACAACCCACCAAAAAGGAGGTGCTAAAAGCACACTTTTCCCCAAGGAGCCGTTTCTTCTCATTTTTAACTACTAAAAGTTCTACGACTCTCACAATACAAATGATCACTAAGAAAACCATCGTGACAATAAATCTAGCTCTCTCCCCATTCAAAAAACCCTCGAATAGAATACCAAGCACAGGAAATAATATCTGAAGTTACAAATTAACACAAATAGCACTGCAAAAGGTCAGCCAAAAATCATAACTGAACAGGGAGAGAATTGAGAGATGAAAAGGATTTCATTTGCTCCTCCTGGATAACACAAAATAATCAAGCCAAGGGTAACGTTGTGACTCCATGAAAAATTATTTACTGAAATCGTTCCAACAAAAAAAAGAACTAAGTTAACTTGCTTTGAGAGTTCAACTTCAAAAAAGTGGATATTAAAGACTAGCCAATCAAGATGAAGAAATCAGCATTTCTATGCATTTATACAGAAACTGCAGCCACTTGCTAAAAACATCTTCAGCAACTTGTAGTATAAAGAGAGCGGGGAGAGAAATAGTAATATCCATGAGCAGTTGCAATAGAAGATACCTCCCAGAAATTCAGCATAGGATCTACAACGCATGATAGGTCTGGGTTCGAAATTCTGCAAAAATGGAGAAAAAAGATTAAGCGAACAAATTCAATAATGAACTTACATTTAACTATGCTTTTGACGGTTCACATACCTCCGTAGAGCTATAGTTCTGAGCTCATTTACGTTGTTGACAGGAGGAACCCATATCTCAGTAAACCGATTGCGAAGGGCAGGAGATAGTTCCTTCTTACCAAAATCACCACCAGGATTCATTGTTGCAAGAAGGAAAAAGTTCGGATGAGCAGTTATTTTCTCAAGATCAGAACCTCCTTTCTCAGCCAAAGACTGTAGGACAGAAGGGAAAATTGTCAAATCAATAAAATATAAACTGGCAAACAAATTTGGAAAATCCACCCAAACATTAACCAAGTAAACTAGAAGTGAACAAGGAGCAGAGGCCATAAATACCCCCTTGAAAGTTACATTATACAACCTGAGAAGGGTTGGAAAAAAAAAAAAAAAAAAAGAAGACGAAGAAGAAACAGAAAATGACCAGGTGAAGACTGTCTACACACCATTCACCTCGAGGAAAACAAGCAAGGGGCAAACAACTAACAGGGTACACAGCAGCAGGGAAACAATTTGATGTGCAAATAGTACTAAGTAGACGTCAACCAACACCAGTTTAGAGTAGAAACAAGTTCAGAAAAAGCAGCTAGTAGTCAAATAGGTGAAAAATGTTGGCTCAACAGTCAACATGGTGATTAGGTAAAGAAGATGGTTGGAAACCACAGAAAGGTGTGTTTTTAATTCTTTATAGACAGAAAGAAACACATCTTCACACCATTAAAGTATGCAGACATCATTACAATATGCTTGACAGAATAAAATGAACAGCATATCATGTATATGCACCTTCACATTTGTAAAACTAATTATCTAAAAATCACATCATGCATTTCTAAAAGGAATGAAAATTCATCAAGTACAGATAGGACTTCCAATAGGACATAGTCAAAAAGGTGGCCCCAATTTATACTTTTTCTTTCAACTGTAAGACAGTATCGTACATCATATCAAGCAGTTCACATATTTCAGAAAGCAGTGGAATTCTGGCACCCAACTTCCAAAGTTATACTATAATTACACGATAATGAAGCAAAGACACATGTCAGCACTAACTCAAACAGCTATGCAATTGATATCAACGCATATCAAAAAAACCAGATATTCTGATAACATTACCCACCAGTTTCCTTTCCGGCTCCAAGACGCTGTTTAATCTTTCGAGTACACTGTCATCTGCCAAAGAAATTTCATCCACGAGAAAGAGATCGCCGTTCCTCATTGCTTCAACAAGCGGTCCATCTTGCCACATAAAAATGGTCTGCCACTTCTGCTGTAGCTGAGCTAGGTCCAGATTCAGTTGTTCAAGTGAATCAAGATCTTGTGGAGTAGCATCAGGATGAGAGACCAGACCCTGTCTATAACTATTTATAATTACACCTAGCTGATCAATAGTTGAAGTGGCTTGACCAATATCTGTAGATATTTTCTGCAGGCAAAAAACATTCAACATAAGAGCCATAAATATTGTACGAGAATGTGAAAAACCTCGAGTAATCAAGTTGTAAGACAAACAGAAAGGAACATACAGCAGTACCAGGGAAGTGAACAAAAGCCTTCGACAGCATTAATTGTTCACATAGATTTTTGAACTCCGAAGCAAGTCTTGATCTCTCTCGTACAGGATAAAACCCCTGTTAAATGATTCATCAATACATTTTTTTATTCTTCATAGACTTGTGTAAAATGAAACTTGTCATGTACTTTTGTAGAATGCTAGAACAACCAATCTAAATAAAAGAAGCAGAGATACAAAAACAAGCAAAGAAGCTAAAACTAAAATAGAAGACCACAAACCCCAAGGAAATCAGATGTTTCCGTGTACTGATGGCAATTCAAAATGTGTAATTTGGAGCCTAACACGATGCTAAGTAACTGGCAAACAGTTGTCTTCCCACAACCAGTTTCACCAATGAGGAGGACAGGCTCATGCATCTTGTAACAACGCTCTATAAGAAAGTACAACCTCCACATACTTTCAGTCCACGCAATTCTGCAATAAACAAGAAAGGGCAAAAAACAAACTCAGAAAGTTACGCACAGGCACACCTATCAACACAATACACATAATACGAGACAGATGCATACTTTCCAAGATACTGAGAAACTCCTGAAGATTCACATAGGTTCAAAAACTTTTCCCTTTCTGCTGGATCCTGAATCACATAACAAACACTATTCAACCATTCTGAATGTGGAAGTTCCGTGACACAATTTCCAAGGCACCCGTATATAACAGTGTTATCTAGCCCTGACAAATAAACAAGCATCTGCTAATTACATTGCCTATGTGGACCCATAGAACTGTAAATGCATACCTATGTCATCCAACACTAGCACACACAATCCATTAGCCATTTAATCAAGTAAAAATAAGAGAAGACTGTTTAAAAATATGCACGCATAATATGCATGATTATATATCAGCATCTATAGTTACAATGCCTTATGAGTAAACGAACATCAGCAAGCAATGGAGGAAATTATGCACCAAATTATGCCATCACATAAACAAAATTTGCACTTGAATTAAACTACAGGATGCTATGTGGGGTACATATTTCGATGGAGCAGTGATCAGCTTTTGCAAAGAAATTTTTAAAGCCATAGCAGTTCTTTATTTTGAAGTTAATACCAGAGCAATTTTTAGTTGCTTCCACAGAAATCCAGGCCAACATTGTTCAATCTGACATGACAGCTGCTCTTATCAAATTTAAAAATTCTTCAGACACATGTTTCAATTGAGACAATTAAGAGATTGGTAAAAGAAACATAAAATGTCCAGGCACTTGTTTTAGGTTTTAGATGTTAATGCAACTCCAGAGAAATCTAGGTGACATGGTTCAATCATCGTCTAGTTACACAGCGAACTATGCATGCAGACATGGAGAGAGATACACATAGAGACGGTAGATAGACCTGCTTGTACAAGTCATCCCTGTCAAGTTTAACGCCGAGCTGTCTCTGCAGAACTTCTTGAACCACAGTTTTCTCACAATCATCTCTCAGCCTCTCTGCCAACAAAAAATAACCGTCTCTGGCTAAATCTTCATAGGTTTTCCCAAATGTCCTGAAACGATCAGCCCACCGAAACAAGTCACGTGGGGTAATAAATCCATGTTTCCCAGAAAAAACTTTACTACTCTGCCTCTGCAACTGCAACTCCTTCATGACTTTTTCAACCATTTTCCTGGCATAGCTTGCAGGAATTTTGCACCTCTTCTCCAATATTTCACTTAACTCTGCTTCAGGAATTTCATCAACATGGATCTCCACAAAACGGTTGCGAAATGCTCGAGAAAGCATTTTACGCCCACCATAAAAAGTAGGTGGATTTTGAGTAGCAAACAGCATAAAATCAGGATGAGCACGAACAGTTTCCTGTAATTCAGGTACAAATAGTTCCCTATTGTCGTCTAGCAACCGGTTCAATGCTTCCAGCACATCAGATGGAGCCAGGTTAAGCTCGTCCAGAACTATCCAATGTCCATTCCTAACAGCCTTAACCAACACACCTTCATGGAATGCGAGCCTCCCACTAGCATCAGTGATGTAAGAACCTAGATATTCCTGCAGATCTGTGTGTTCATGATTATTGATCCGCACAAATTCATGACCAGTTATTGCAGCAAGATACTGAACAAGGCTAGTCTTCCCGCTAGACGTAGGCCCTTGTAGAAGAACAGGATATCTTCCAACAAATATAGCTCGTGCCAAGTTCCTGAGGTGCTCCTTAACGCTTTTAGTCAGAACATAGTTCTCCAATAAATTATCCAATGTTGCGTTTCCTCTTTTCATCAGGTAACCATCAAAAGAGACAGGTGGCGGTATATTTCCCCCTAACAAATATGATGATATCATTTGGTTCATTAACTTAGCACTAGGTTCATCTAATAAAGTCAAGAAAAACATACAAAATCCATCATAAAGGGCCTTCTGAAATCCAAAATGTCTTCTCGCTTTCTTTGTGTACTCTAGCGCACGGTAAAGAGATCTTAAACTATATTGGGGCTTCTGATTGGCCCCATCTTGCAGCCTTTCTTCAGATTTCTTCTTAGCAGCTTTATAAAAATGGACTATTTTCTTTACTAGCTCAATATTCGAATGGCCATCATCCACAAACTGATTTATAAACAGAATTAAATCTTCATCATCTAGCACATCATCAACAAAGTATTCAGTAAATCTACTACGTAACAAGTAGGGCAAATCTCTCTTCCCAGCATCAGTGGCAGGATTCATGCAAGCAAATATACGGAAGTTGGGATGTCTGTAGATATAATCAGCATCCCCTCTTTCAGCTAAACAAAGTGAACCATTCTCTTCTTCAAGAACGCCAATAACTCTCTGTAAGGTCTCTGGAGGAGCCAAATTCATCTCATCAAGCAAAATCCACTCACCATTTCGAAGAGCAGTTACAAAAGCTCCCTCTACAAATGAAAATATCATTCCGGATGAATCATTGATTTGCGCACGAGCACTTTCAAGTTTCAAAGAAAAATCCTCCCAAGCTTTCAGTAATTCTTCCCTTAAAGGTCTCTTTCGCTTGGTACCAGACCCAGATCTTCCTATTTCAAGTATCTTCTGGACACCCTTTCGAAATCCACTTAATAACTTCTTCCAATTCTTGTCGTTCACAAATTTCTTCAAACGAACAAGAAAATCCTCATTATCCTGAATGTCAACAACCAATAACATAAGTCGGTCGTGCCAACTGAGAATAAGTAAAGGAGAAGTATAAAACATTATCAAAAAGAAAAGTACCTTTGAAGAAAATGTAGTGGTGAAAAGATTCTCAAACTCCATATAAAGAGGAATGCATAGAAACTGTGCATTCATAGGTTTAAATCCTCCTAGCAAATCAGCAACATCACTTTGCTGGCTTAAGTTCTGTCCAAAAACAAATTGTTAATGAATCAGCATCATGAAAATACTCAGAATACTGGTATAGACATGTGAGCATACAGAGCTCCATGATGAACGTACCAAAACAGTAAGTTTCTGACCAAGTCTCAAGGCCAGACTCTGTACAAGAGTGGTCTTCCCAGTGCCAGTTTCACCAACCAAAAGAACAGGCTCATTGAACTTAACAGAGCAAGCTATCCTCTCAAGGACATGTATTGAACTACGAATTTCAACAAAGGGTTTTCTTTCATATCGAAACTGACAAAGAACAAATAGCAAAACTTCAGGAAAGAAGCTAAAATCATAACAATGCTCAAGCAATACAAAGTCAGCTGCATGCACTCACTGTGCTCTCAGCACGATGGAGGGTAATTCGTCCAATATGTAAATCAGAATGCAATTCCTGAAAGAAAGTTGCAACTATGAAAAACTGCGATAAGTTAACAAGTTGTCATAAAAATAAGGCATCCAATGTGAATAATGAAAACCTGGATAACAGGTTTATTAACAGGATATAAAGTCTCTGCAGCAGAAATTGGCACTGCCCACGTCTTTGCAATATATTTCATGATAGTCAGACGATTATTGGCAGAGGTTGTGAAAGATGCGAAAATATCTACAGCCTGAAAAACCATTGCCAAAATTCATGTTACCAGTACTACGTCCAGAAAATGTTCATCAAATGAAACCAGAAAGGAGTTGAAACAACTGTATCAAACCTCTTGATAAATGCTACTACACACAGAACTTGAAAACCCATCCACACCAAAGCTAAAACCCAAAGCAGCAATTCTCTTGCACCATTTCAACAGATCCCTACAATTGCAGACGAATAAATATAAACTAATAACATCCAACCAAACTTGCATATCAACAACTGCAACAAGATAACCACCTTAAGGAGAATCTGCCGAGAGAACTGCAAGAAGCAGAAGTTCCAAACTGAAAGCTTGCCAGCTGATTAACTCTTTCAAAGGTCTCTGCCAGAAAAAACAAAAAACAAAAACAGAACAGAACAGAAAGAGAAGAAAAAATCAATTTTAGGTAAGTCTCAAGTCCAGAATTAAAACCATTTAGATCTAGCGTACCGATGAGTTTTTCAGCAAGATGCTCCAAATCTGGATACTGTGCTTTCACTATGCTTATCAAGTCATCATTACTTGGGGGTCCAATCATCACTCTCCTCCAAAGAGCACCAAGAGCGTTCCGACCTATTAATCAAATGTGATAAAGAAAATAAAAAAGAAAGAAAATGCAGAAGAAAAATAGTACTCTATACCAAAAATGAAGACCAACTTTTGAGGATGCCAAAATTTCTAGCTCTGAAAACCCAAGCAAAATAAAAAACTTTAGATTTGAGCCACAAAGAATTGGCTTCTGCTGCATATACAAAATCTAGAATATGAAAGAATCTGTAGCATTTTAATGCTAATTACACCACTACAAATGTAACCCACTAATCTGGAAGATGGACAGATCAAAAACTAACTAAACCATTCACCCAGGCATAAGAACCAAATTTTCCAGTTGATTGAATGTATAGAAAAAATTACTCGAAAAACAAGGTGTGAAACAATTTAAATAAGCAAAGAAATAAAATAAGTTACCAAGGATCCAATAGAATCATAAAACAAATAGCACCCAAATACACATGACAATGGTTCCAAGTCGAGAACCATTCTCAGAAGAGCTTGTTGCTTTTCAGTCTATGTATAAACACTAAATCTATAAACACTTAAAATATCAACTAGACATATAACAGAAACAGTTCTTTTTTCGCTTTCTTCTATCTTTTTCCCCTGTGCAGGGGAGAGGGGCACTTTTTTGAGCAAACACACCTGGTTCACATATCCAAAAACCAGATTCATAGAGTGCAACCACTGAAGTTCAATTGCATTTACATACCTTCTATAGCATGAGATATATTAAGATTTATGCTTGATATTGTGGAAAATAATTGAAAACCTTCTGCCACCCTAATTGCCTGCAAATGTTCAATCCAATTCAAATTGTTCGTCAAGCAGAAAAATTAAAAGGTAAACAAGCAGCATATGACTGTACAAAAAAAAAATGCTTAATGTTAATAAATATAAATACAAAGCAGAGGAAAAACATTTGTTCGAAAACAGTGAGGTGTAAGCTGAACACCAACAATTTCCAGAAAAAATGACCTTCAAAGAGCATACATTTGCTCAGGCTTCATAATGAAATACTTAACTGCATTTCAAATGATAAAATATTCAAACATAACCAAATGATGATACAATACAACTGAGAAAACTCCTCAAGACCAAGAAACACAACACATATATGGAAAACTTCAATTCAGAAATAGATGTGCTAATAAAATACTTTCTGAAAGAGAATGTAAGGTAAATACCTCCCCATGACCAGTAAAAAATGAACTTGCACCTTCCAACAAAGGTAACAAGATGGATTGTACATCAGAGGGTGCTTTATCAATATCCTCAAAGACAACCCAAAATCCATTGAGAACAGCCTGTACGTAGAAAGTTTAGATATATTATGACCACAAAGAATACAAACAACAACAATTATTCTCCGAAGATGGACAAACCTGTGTAAGAGAACCAGGCTGCCATCTAAATTCACCAGGTTTCTCCGTACACACATAACTTCCTATCAATGTTTTTCCATCAATTTGTTCATCCATGTGAATGGATAGAACTGCAATAAGACATGAAAAAACAGAGTATTGAAAGAATAGAGTTATAGCCAGCGTAAACAAGAAACTTACAAAACAAGAGATATAATCCATCAAATGAAAATGTCAAGGCATTCATATATAAATACATATAACTATGCAGTGTTAACAAGATAAACAATCATACAGGCAGCAACCCACACTTCTAGTCTTTCATAATCGTCTCCCGAGAGCATAAGATGCCAAATCCAGTTTCAATAACAGTATCCATCACCCGTCAAACTGGCCCTCTTTCCTCTTACAGTTCTAAGTCAACCGACGCCAACAAAAAGCCCATATTTATTCACAATTGATCAAAATAAAATAAAATAAGAAAGGAAGAGAGAAAATGGAAACTATAATATTATCAATAGATAGAGAATGTCGAAGATTACCAAAAGTGCAAAGGAGAGGGAAGGAAAAAAGAGGAGAGCAGACAATTTTACTCACAATTTTGCCCTTCTCAGCCTACAGTAAATATTGGCAATAAAGCAATATGTCCAAGGTATATGATCATTTTCCTAAAATACTTTACGTAGTTGTACCAAATCATTAAACATAAGGCCAAGAAAAAAAAGAGGGAAAAAAACACCTATACTAGAAGCTATTCAAGATTCTCTACAAAATCAAAAAATCGGTTCAATGATGGGTCCACACTGCCCGGGAAACAACATAAAATAATTGAAAATTTTCTTTTCTATAAAAAATAGGGGTCTCAACTTCATCAAAAGATCTTCTATTCCACTCTGTCCAAATGCTTCACATCACCAAGGATCAAAATTCCCGGCCACTTTTTTTCTTTTGCCAACCAGAACTCCCCTCCAAAAGTGCAATAAGCCCTGCACACTAGACGAGAACACCTAACCACATCAAACAACAGAAGCAACAAAGACCACAACTCCCTAGCCACCAAACAAGGATTGAGAAGGTGGTCCACCAATTCACCATCCCTCTTTCGCAAACAACACCAATGGACAAGCACTTGTTTCCTTCAAATAAAGTTGTCAGCAGTTAGTATCTTACCATCCATTGTTGTTCAAACAAAGAACACAACCTTGGACTACTTCTGTGTATAGACTACTTCTAATCTTGGTGTGACAACTACCGCCATGCTATACTCAACTTAATCCTGGTGCCTTGGTTTTGATCTACTCTCCAGATTTTAAAAAATAAATAAATCGAAATCAAAAAAAGAAACGTTATTCCCTCTATTTTTTCTACTTGAAACATGCATTATAAGTTTAAAATATATCATAGACTATGAAGCATGGGCAATCCAAAAATGGTACCGTACGAGTACCAGGCACTTACCGAGTGCGGGTACGCGTACTGGTACAGCAGTACGCATACTGGGCACGCCGAATACATGCCATGTATGGCAACTACATTTGGGTACATCGTGGATACAACATAAGTACGACACCAGTACGGCGAGGTTTTTTTTTTTTCTTTTTTTGCAGCTGCTAGAATTTGTTGCAACCTTTATTATTCTTCTTTCAATTTTGAAAATATCAAGTAATTTATTTCCAACACCCTTTACCCATAAGTCATGGTTTTGCTCTCTTTTACATCCTATTTTAGGCAATCAAAAAAGAAAAAGAAAGAATTATATAACTTTTTAGACAAATTGTTCTCTTTTTAGTTTTGATATTAAAACTTTGATTTGTATGATGGATGTTTAGCTATAAATTTAAAAAATAAAAATAAAATTGACGTATCCCCGCCGTACCGGTACCTGTACCCTCCTTTTTTAAGAATTTGTCGTATTGGCGTACCTATACGCGTACCTGTATCCATACCCGCACCCGCACCCGCACCCGCACCCACACATGTGCTTCATAGATCATAGTGTTAGGTGTAAGAAATTGCCTCAAACCAAACCAAGCCAAGCCTAGCCTTAAGTCCCATCAAATGGGATCGGTTACAGGATTCTTCTCCATTCGACTCTATCTAATGCCATTTTGTTAGTCAAATTAAGGTGATTCATATCTTTATTTACTACACTAACCCACGTTAATCTAGGTCTACCCCTTCCCCCAACACTTCCATGTACCGTCACTGTATCGTATCTCTTCACTACTATTTATGTTGATCTCCGTTGTATATGACCAAACCATCTCAATTTATTCTCTCTCAACTTATCTTTTATCGATACTACTCCTACCCATTCTCGAATATACCCATTCCTAACTTTGTTTTTTCTAATCTTGCCACACATCCGCCTTAATATCCTCATCTCATCAACACTCATCTTATCTAAATGTTGTTTCTTAATTGCCCAACATTTCGTCACATACGACATCACTAGTCTAATAGCAGTTCTATAAAACTTCTCTTTTAGTCTACCAGATACTCGTTTATCGCACAGTTCCCCAGACGCACTCCTCCACTTAAGCCACCCCGCCTTGACTCTATGAACCACATCCACTCCAATCTCCCCAACCGTTGTGATAATCGATCCTAAGAAATTGCCTTGCTGCAAAAAAATTAATTAAAACAAAACAAAACAAAACATATGTATCAAATATATGAAGGAAAATGCTACGACCTACCATAGGGTTGTCGTTAATAGTGTTAAAAATATATAGAAACATACGTAATGTGTTAAAAAAAAATGAAATTCTAACTTTTGGCATTTTCCTCCCTTTACTGACAACCCGTATATTAAAATTGAATAAAACAAGGAATGCGTACCTTGACTTCCACTATCCATAGCTAACTTGCTAATTAGTTTTGTTTTCCCCATGCCAGCAGGACCATACAGAAGAACAGGCCACTTTTGGCTCACTGCCAACCGAACTATCTCAAAACTTTTCTTCATAGCAGATGTCAAAACGAAAGGATTTTGCATGGATGTCACATTCCTGAAGATATATTGAAAGAGCCAAGAGATAAAGACAGCATAATATGAAGCCAAATGAAACATGGTAAATGTCATTTAAAGAAAAAATATTTTTTTCCTCATTTGGGGGGAGAGGGGAATGGTAAGTCATTGTGGTACCACTGCACCACCCATCCCTACAAAGATACACTTCCATCAGCTCACTCCTTTGTCATTACAACCAAGTTGCTAGTGTATACAACATCATTACATGGCTGAACTATTAATTTTAGTAAACGCTTACCGTGTTGCCAACCTTCTATTCTTATTTGACGGCTCAATCTCATGAAACTTTGAAAAGGAAAGAGCCGGTGAAGCAGGAGCAAAAGTACGAAGACTATATTCTTGATTGAAATCAATATTTCCGTCCACAGTATCAGACTTTTCATGATCAAATGCTTCAAGATGCCACCCAGCCTTTTCTAATGATACATCTTGACAAAATTCCTGCCAGCTGCAAATGCCAAAACATAACAAAAGTTTGAAAAAGCAAAAGGAAGACCACTACAAATCATTAAAGGAATGTAATTGTAGCCCAACAAGAAAAGGGAGGTGGCCAACCGCAAAAAACATGAAAATGCCTCATCAGGCCCAAGACCAAAGTTGGCAGTTGCTCTATCACTTATTTTGAGAACTATTGACAGGATCTGTATCCCACACCATCTCATGTCTGAAACATTCCTCAACATCTCTGCATTATCACCTGGGTCAAAATCTGCAGTATGCTGTACAACATCTAAAAAACAGGACCAGTCCCAGAGTGTGGCAAAAACTTCAGACTGAGCCAAAAGAAGGCGGTATGATGCTCGGATAACATTTAATAAATACTGGGTTCCCACCTGATAAAACATAAAGGTAATTAAAATATTGGCCAAAAAGAAAGAGTAGATCCCCAATTTCCTATAAATAAATAAAAAGAAACTGAAAGAACAATGGTAACAGTAATGATTGCAATTACAATCTACCAGGAGAAATAAAATTAGTTGAACGAAATCCACCAAAAACTAAGAAATCCCTTGCTCAAATTTTGCAATAGTTAAAGTGAAATAAAGAGTAAGCCACAAAATTTATAAAAATAAAATAAAATAAACAAAAACAAAAAGGACCAACAAGGCAACATATGAAAAACTAAAAAATAATGGATAATATTATTACTATACCGTATAATTTCATTAAAAAATAAATAAACAAATGAAGAATGAAACCCAAAGACGAGGATAAGAAGAAAGGCATCTCTTATGTTTTAATAGGCAAAGAAACAAAATCATTATAAACACCATAAGGGTTGGAATACAATTAGCATACCATTGTTGATAACTCAGAAACATATTTTCTCTGCATAATCCGTTCAAAAGGAGAAGGAGCAAATTTAAAATAGCTTAACACAGACCTGCACAGAATAAACAATACACATTACTCGAGTTATCATACAGAAAAGGATTCAAATCAATCACAAGCTTCTCAATGAGCAAGCACACAGTACCTAAGAACATTAAACACTTGGGCAGTGACTTCTATCAGCATGAAGAGACGTGTCAGTCAGAAAATTACATTGCAAATTAAATTAAAGCCAGCGTGTCCTAATATATTATGTTCAACAATGCTCCAAAAACACAAAACAACCTATCAAGTTCACCATTTCATACTTCTGGTTTTAGGTGATGGCAAATTTTTTGAGGATATGACGAAACCAAAAATAACATAAAAGCAGCAAAAAGTTACCCCAATATAGAATAACATGTGAAAGCTGCATACAAGCTTTAACATATTGCTTGTTTAAAGATGCAGATAGTCACCTCAATAATCAAGATCAGATCATTTCTCATACATCACTGCATCGAACCTTGTACACAAGGCTGAAAATAATGGAACCAAGGTGACAACAGAACTGACAGTCTGGACTTAGTTCAGTTACTCTACTTGTGGAACCCAAGATTGGCAAACCATGGATGGCTTCATACCAATACACCACAAAGGTGACCTTGGTTAGGCAACCAACATCTTCCTTTCCTTTTTTGATTAAGATAATCAATGAATACAATTTCATTTTGTTGCATCGTTTCGGCTAGCATGGAAACAAACACATTTCATAAATGTTTCGAAAGAGAAAAAAGGTTGAAAATACATGAAATGTTTAGAAACGCAAACTAACCAAACGAAATTGTGTCCCAACCAATTGGGGTTAGGTCGGCTATATGAATCCTTTTTGTCCATTCAACTCTATCAAGGGCTATATGTTCAGTTAAATTAAGTAAATTCATATCATTTTCACTACCGCATCCCAGGTCAACTTAGGATTTCCCCTCCCCCTGGAGGTTAGTTGCCTAAAAGCATTTTTCAGCAAGCAATAACCAAGTTGCTTTGACACCCCACCCCACCCCCAAAAAAAAGGATGTGAAAGTGCATCTTTAGTGCAAAAACCAAATAGTATCAAACCTCTTTACCACCCTAACAAAGGAGGCCTAGATGATTGCATGTGTAGTAACAGCTCAACCAATAGGCAGCTAAGGTGATCGCCTATGGCCTGGCACAAATGAGGGCCTCATTTTTTCCAGTTTTAATATACTAAGCATACAAGTAAATGTACATACGCATAATTAAAACACATAAAAGTACAAAAAATATACAAGGGCTTTGTGCCTCATTTTTCCAGTTTTAATATACCAAGCATACAACTTACAAGTATGGTTACATACACATAATTAAAACACATAAAAGTACCAAAAATATACGGGGCTCACCTCTTGTGAAAACATGAGGATACCACCAAAAATGAGAATACCTCTGGTGGGCCCCATAATGCTAAAATACACATTCTTGATATTTCTTGTTGTTTAATTATATGTGTGGGTGTCTGTGTTGTCTTACTCTAAACATATAACCCTAAACACATAAGAGCTATGATCAAAATAATGAACAAAAGAAAAATGACAAAAGTAACCAAATGTAGACAAAATGGAAGCAAAATCAAACTTTTCTGATATTGATGCTTTAGATTTTTTTTTCAAAATCAAAGTTTTAAAGAAATTTTGCAAATAGAAAAAAATTATAAATAAACATTAAAATAACAAACGACTTCAATTCATGGACAGAATTATATGGGAAAATGTATTTTTTTTCTAAATGCACTCATCACTTACGTATATTATTAACAATAAATGTAATAATTGTTTTTGCAGAAAGAAAGTTTTTCAAAAATAAAATTTATGAAATAATAAGATTATAAGTGGATTAGCTGCTATAATATCAGTTAAAGTCGATATATTTGCAAAACTTGAATATAAAACATCATTAGTACTTTAGCATCTCAAAATGCAAGAAAAAAAATTTTAAATAAAAGTTATAATGTAAAAATTTTAAGGGCCTCACTTAGATTATTCATCTAAACTTTCAGAAGATGAAAACTGGTAGCGGTCAATTGTAAAAGTTTATATTAGAAACTTGGCACTTTTTGCGATTTTGTTAATAAAATATAACTTTATATTAGTTCTTGTTGTTGTGGCAAAGTATTAAGTTTTTGTTTATGATTTTTTTTTTCTTGCTATTGTGATTAATATACTTGCCCCTCCTGAAATTATTCCTTGGCTCCGCCACTGGCCACAGATGCATATGTGTGCACCAGTGACCAGAGTTTATGTCCTTTTTTTGTGGTGGGTACATGGGCATGGAGGAGAAGGGTTAAAGAGGGAGAGAGAAACTATATATGTTGGCTTACCCCAATAGAAAAGGTGCCAAATCAAGGGCTCGGCAGAAGGCCAGACAGGCAAGCTCGTGAAGAATTAAGGCCCTTCCACTTCTAACATAAAAATTAATAACACCAGCCACATCATCTCCGAAAATTTTGTCTTCATCAAATTCCACTATGGATCCATCGGAATTGGACCTTAAATCAGGTACCAAGTGAAGCAATGCCACGGCCCTCTCCACAATTTGCTGAGCGATACAACGGAAACATCCCATTAATGGGATTGTATAATTTGGGTGCAGAAACAGCTCTGCTAAAGCACTCACCATTTCTTCTTCTGTCAATGAGTGTCCCTACACATACCCATTTGCATACCATTAAACAAAATTCTTCAAATTCCATATTTTAGACAAAGAGAGTGTTAATTGATTTTGAAGCTTTCAAAAAATTGTTTAGTTTTTAATCGGTATTTTAAAAACACAAAAATTCAATACATTTTCGTATTTTTTTGTATTTGTTGCATTTTTTAAAGATTTGTTCACAAAATTTTTTTATTTTTAAGTGCATCTAAAATTTGACCAAAATAAAAAATACGGATTGAAACTTAAAAACTGTTTTTGAAACATTAAAACCAAACAGAGTGAATATTTCTGGTGAATGGGAGTGACCTCATTACCTCTTTTAAAAGCGAATTGAGTCGAGAGACAGAAGCAAGCTTGGGAAACCGAGAGAGAAACCTCTTGAGCTCAAATTTAAGACGAGAACTTCCATCAATCGCCATTCGAACCTCAACACAAACTTTCAGCTAAATTAATTTGCAACCCAGAAACTGTCTGATTCAAAGCAACAAAGGGTTGTAACAAACCCCAATAAAAATTTTAAAAAAAAAAAAAAGATCAATATGAAACCTAATGATTCAGTAATGAAAGTTCAGAATTTTATCAGTCAAGTTATATTATGAATCAACAAACTTAAACCCTACGTTTTGTTGTGCCAATTCGTTCTTGTTTGATCTTTGTTCTGTGGAAACTGACCTGAAATCGGACAGGTCTTGAATCGATTCTCTCTCTGCTGTGTTGTTTTGAGGTTCGAAGCAGACCTTTTTTCAGTGTCGTTTGGTTCTCCTCTGCTAGGGTTTAGGGTTTAAAGGCTTTATATACATTTCTGCAATATGTTTTGGTACTGTGTGTTATGTACTATACAATACATTGTAGACATTCAAAAGCGGCCCGAGACGGAGTCGGCGGGTGTTTAAGTGGTATGGGTCAATATGGTCGGGTTAGATGTTTAACCCAAACTCCAATTGTGATGCTGTCCATTGGGTCGGGTTAGATTTTAACTCAAAACTCCAACAAATTGAATGCAACGATGATACATGTCAATCCAATCATTTATTGTCTTTTAATCTTCGTATGCATAGTATCTGAAAATTATAATTTACTCTTGATATCATGTAATTTTATTATGGATTAATAACATGTGTAATACTTAAAAATTATAATTTATTTTTGATATCATGTAATTTTATTATGAATTAATGATATATGTGACAATTAAAAATTGACATTATGTAATTTTATTATGAATTAATGATATCATTTACAGTATCCGCATTACACTTTTCACTACAAGTTTGATAGAGAACAATGTACCATAGCCCAGATTAAAGAATTCAAAAAAGAGGTGAGAGAAAGAGGTTCATGCCCGAGCCTCTCCAAAAAGGGGCTCGAATTCATAACTCAGGGAAAAATGTTATTGTACATGTCCTTTTAATAGGTGTATACTATATATATATTTTATAACTAAAAAAATGTTGATACAACTTTATATTTTTAAAATTATAAAAAAAAAAAATTTAAAATATCATAATCAAATATAACATGATGCATAACTAAATAATTTACTAGTCATAACTAAAATAATATTATAATTAATTAATAAAATTGATCAAAATTAAAATCCAAAAATGATATAATTATAGAGGTATATGATGCGGCCTTTAAATAGTGTGAATGTTATAATTTCTTATTTTAAGTATGATGGGTACGATGGATGGAGAATATACTATGGCTTATTTTGGGAAGATGGTAAAATGACTTTTTGTCTTTTAATCAAGCTTTTGGCTTTTTTAGACAAATAATTTGAAAAGTTGGTAAAAAGTGACTTTTGATTTTTTTCATTAATATTTGTTTATAATGTCAAATCATAATGAAATGACCAATGTATCCCTAGCCAATTGGAAAATTACACATTTTTACCTTTTCATTTTCCATCTATGGAGGGTAATTTCGTAAATTTTTTTTTTTCTTATAACCAACATCCCAAATCAATTTATGGCCAAAAAAAACCACTTTTTACATTTTGGCAAAAAGCCAAAACGCCACTTATAACCAACATTCCAAATTGAGCCTATGTATTAAAGTTGTTAAATCATCTTCAATGGTTCACTAAATGCTTCATTAAATTTAAATTTGATGAAAAATTTTATTTTTTGCTGCTCTAATGGTTCACAAAATCTTTTATCAAATCTAAAATTTCTCAAATTCTTCATCAAATTGAGAATTGATTTGTCTTTCATCAAATCATTGTTTATAGTTGTTGGATTCTTACCACCGAATGTCTCTCCGGATGTCCCCCAAATGACCACCCCAAGGCAAAAAATTGTGAAAGACATCCACCCCGTTGTCCACCTGGCCAACTGGTTTTCTGATGAAACTTCAAAAACCTCTGTTAAAGCATTTGATATCAAATAAACCTTTTATTTAAATCTAATAAAAATTTTAATACACTGTTGAAGATGCCCTTAGGTGGTCTAACTTTTAACTTCCTATTTCATTTTCCATTTTGAAACTAGGTTTTGATTTGTACCACTAAATCAACAGCATTACTGCCAACTCTAATGAGCTGGCAGTGAAAGGAAAAATAAACCAAAAAAAAAAAGAAGGAAAAACATCACATCAAAAAA